CACTCAGTTGGGTCACCCTTCTTTGGAATGGGAACAAATATAGATCTCTTCCAGTCAGTTGGCCAACTGGTTGTTCTCCAGATTTCTTGGCACAATAGCGATGGAAAATACCATTGCCTGAATCAGGTGAAACTCAGTTTTTAAACTGGCATCGTTGATCCTCAGGTTTAGAAGATTTTGGCAATTACAAGGTTCCATAAATTATTGAGATCCTCCCCCCACCCCCAGTGCCTTCAGTGAAGCTTAGACTTCTTTCATTGCCATTGTTTCTTGATCATATCCTATTTTTTAAAATTTTTCAGTGTCAACCAATTCTTTTAGGTACAATGACTGTGTATTCCTTCCATCTTCTTTTGCAGCTTCCTATATTATGCAGTATTATGTCCATATATTTCTTCATTGTTGCAACTGAAGCCTTGAATTTGTTCTTTAGTTCTTTCAGCTTGAAAAAATGCCAAGTATGTTCTCCTTTGCACTTTCTGTTGTAATATTTTGCTTTGTTGTCTCTAGCAACTCTTTGAAATCTTTTGTTCAACTCTCTTATTTCATCATTTCTTCCTTTTACTTTGGCTTCTCTATGCTCAAGAGTAAACTTCATGGTCTCTTATGAGACTCTTTAGTCTTTTTCTTTTCCTTGTCCCCAGGTGGCTCAAATTATTAAGAGCTCAGCTAACTAGAAGGTTGGCAGTTTGAATTACCTAACACCCCTCCCCACCCCAAGATATTTTAAAAGAAAGGTTTGCTTTTTAAAGGGTTAGTCTTGAAAACCCTATGGGACAGTTCTACTCTGACACAAAGTGTCATCATGAGTCAGAAATTACTTGATGTCAATAGATTGATTGGTTGGCCTGACATCCATTTTGGTCTTTTCTTTCTTTCTTGTCTCTTTTGTTATTCATTTTGTTACTTTTATTTGAGTGGAGGTTTACATATCTTATTGGTTTTTCATCCAACTATTTATACACGTTTTATTAAATTAATGAAAGTTTATTTATTAATTAAAATGTCTGATCAACCCTTTATTGTGTATTGTCTTCCCTTCATTCATTATACCTATTTGTTAACTTTTCACTCTCCATTTCCCATCTCTGCAAACCATTCAAGAATGATTCTATGTGTAAACTTTTCCTTACCTTTTTATAATAGAGGTCATACACTTTTGTGACTGGCTTATCTTTCCTAGCATAAAGTCCTCCAGGGAGTTCTTGTGACTTAAAAGCAAGGAGTTGTCCTGCCAACCCAAAGGCATGCCATTTGAATCCTGCCACTGCTCCTTGGGGAAAAGATAAGCAGTCTCCTCTTGTGTGATTTACAGCCTCCGAAATCCTACTGGAGAATCAGGTGTGAGTTGGTTTTGACTCGATAACACACAACAACAGCAACAACAATGTCCACTGCATTCATGTTATGCAGTGTTTTAGAAATTCTTTATTGTTTTATTTAAAGTGTTGCATACAACACCATATTTCTTGTCTTTTTCATTATCTTTTGTTTTCTTCATGTATGACATTTTTGTTGCCATCCCACAACTAGTCTGATTTTCAATCATTAGTATCCAGTGTATTAAATCTGTTCTTGAGTAGGTCTTTAAATTCAGGTGAGATAAACTCAAGGTCTTGTTTTGGATCTCATGGGCTTGTTTCACTTATTTTCAGCATTAATTTGAATTTGCATAGGAGCAATTGATGGTTTGTTCTGCAGTCAGCTCCTCACCTTATTCTAATTGAGCTTTCTACCATCTCTTTCCATAGATGTAGTCAATTTGATTCCTATTTATTCCTTCAATTGAGGTACATGTGTCTAGTCAAAGTTATAGTTTGTTTTTTTTTTCAAAAAAGATATTTGCAGTTAATAAATCATCATACAAAATTCTACTATGTGATTTTCATGCTTGATTTTGTCACCAAAGCCTATTTTCCAATAACTGGTCCTTCTTTCTGCCAGCTTTTGCATCCCATTCAACAATTATTTACAGTCCAGATTATAATTACATGCTTAATCAATTTCAGACTATAGAATCTAGTATAAATCCTTCATTTCTTCATCTATTATTTCAATTATTGTTACATATATCTAAAAAACAGTCATATTAACAGGTTTCCCTTATATGTATATTGATTCTACTTCATCATTGACAACACTGTATTTCAGGAATGATCTTGATATTATTTTTTTTTAAATTTAGGTTGTTTATTTTTCATTTCAATGAACATCTACAGAGATTTTGGGATTCCATCCATTCATTGTTGCACCCTTCTCCCCGCACAAACCCCTCCCCCCTCCCCCCCCATTTGCTCCTCTCCTTGAAAAGCAAAAGAAAAACTCCCTCAT